AAAGTTTTTCACATTTTTGTTCATTTTCCCAATGATTTTAGTCTTTCCTTTTTTAATTGTAATTTTTTGTTTTGTTTTTACATAAATCCTTTGTTACATATATGTATTGCAAATATCTCATGCCATTCTGTGACTCATATTTTCAACCCCCTAATGGTTTCATTAAAAGAACCAAAGACTTATTTTTAATGTGATGCTGTTGATCAAATTTTTTCCTTTTCAGTTAATGTTTTCGGGCTCTGTTTAAGAATTTTTTTCTATCTTAAAGATATACACACCTTTTCCCCCTCAAAATTAAGTTTTATTTTTTATTTTATATCTATATCCATTTAAAATCAATATGTATAATGAAGCAGTTTGTTCAAGAGGTTATTGAACTAGAAGTCATTTATGGGAGAAAAATGACATCTCCTCCAATTTTCATTTTCTCAAACATCAAGTAACCATATAAAATTGTTCAGTAAAGGTTGCGTCCATTGACCGAGCTGACCTCAGAAAGCTAATCAAGAGGAAGTTAGTACAAATTAGTTATGGGAAAAAAGTTACTGAAATCACAAATAAGTTTTAATGGAAATTCCAGATTTGATTTCCCCAGAAATAGGTGTCAAATAAAAATGATTTTCTCAATGATTTTTTCACTAGATTCAATTTTTTCCAATGCTGTTCAGTATTCTAAAACATTTCATTCTAATTTATAAGGCTTTTTAGAAAATAGAAATTAAGTGTAAAATTTTTGCTATATGAGATTTTTGTTAAGTACATGTATGAAATTACATCTTTTGAACTCTCTCTACGAAGTTTATGTCAGTAAACTGAAGTAAAATGACTAGAATTCATATGTGATGCTGGTAAATAAGTGATGTCTCTGTGTTTGATAAAGCAGAAAACTTAAGTAGATAATTTTGTCAAAATAAACAAAATAAAACCAAAAAAAAACCCCAAAACCTGACAGCAATTGTCATCCATGAACAATTTATTGAAATGTTTTGTTTCTCATTTGTACAAAACAAATCACACCATTGGGAAAAAACAAGCCTGTAAGTGAAACAAAAATATAATATGACTGTCAATGTGTCTTCTGTCAGTGCCATAAAACTAAGTTGTATACTTCATTTTTTCTTTTGTACTTCAAATGCATCAATATAATTCAATACACTTCTTGAATAATAAATGCTATTGAAATAAAATGACTATCAACTTGACTAAATTAGTCTTGAAAATTATTTTCAAAATATACCATACAAATTTTCTCTAGACAATTGTTATTAAATATAACATTTTTAATCAAAACGATGTCTTAGAAATATCAGATGTCTCTAAAATTGTAGTATTAAATGGGCAGCCTTTGCACTTGGCCTGTTTTGAAATATTGCTCTCTTCTTGTGGATCTAGATATATAAGAAGATCAAAGTTTCTGATGAACTGACATGAAGGAAGGAATCATTTTCCACAAGTCAGAATTGCTGGAAAAATGAAACATCTTGGAACATCTTGGCAGGAAACACAAGAAACACCTCCTATCTGCTATCCTAGCCTCTCTGGGCTTTGCTAATAACTAGCCCACCCCCAAGGAAATTGTTTTTTTCCAGAAACTCCCACTCACAAGAATTTCACTACAGTGTGGCTCATTAACTACTTACTCAAGAGTAGAAACCACTCAAACAGATTTTTGTTCTATACATGGTTATTTTTAGTTTACATTTTCTGACAGCTTAAACAAGTTGCTTGATGTACTACATTTGTCTCATGGCAGGAAAATTATCAATATTTATTGAGCCACTTTTGAGATCACTCTTGGATTGATCCAAAATTTAATCAGAAAATGGCAGAACAAATGAACAGGAAGCAGATGGTCCAGGAAAGTAAATGTTCAAAATGTTCAAAATTCAGATACTTGCTCAGAATTTTACTTTTGTAACTACAATATATTCTGTGGTATAATATTATTTGAAGTCATTTTTATTCCTTTCATGGAAACCACCAAAGATGAAATGTTTTCTATGAAATTATCTTAAGAATAAAAAAGTTTAAACTGCTTTTTACCTACAATAATTTTATTGGTCTTTAATCAGTAAGAAAAGTTAGAAATTTAATTTTAAAAGAAAAATAGCAAGTGATATAAAAGTAAAGCACTTCTTCTTGTCTTTATGTTAATTATGACCATAATTGGGCTGGAGCGATAGCACAGCAGGTAGGGTGTTTGCTTTGCACGTGGCAGTTCCGGGTTCAATTCTTCCATCACTCTCAGAGAGCCCGGCAAGCTACCAAGAGTATCCAACCCACATGGCAAAACTTGGCAAGCTCCCCGTGGCATGTTCGATATGCCAAAAACAGTAACAAGTCTCACAATGGAAACATTACTGGTGCCTGCTCGAGCAAATTGATGAACAACAGGAGAACAGTGCTACAGTGACTAAATCTACTTTCCCATTTGTTTTTGTTTCACATCTTGTGATGCTCAGGGCTTATTCTGGCTCTTTGTTCAGGGATCACTCATAGCAGGGCTTGAGAGATGAGCATTCCTCCAGGTCTATCTAAGGTGTACAAGGCAAGAAGAGCCTTCATTCTTGTCCTCTCTCCGGCGCTAAATTCATGTACTGTTTGCATATAAATTTCTTTTAAATGAAGAATCATATTAATCTGAGATCATCAATGGGCAATAAAAATAACTATTTGGAATTTCTGGTTACAAGTACAGTATAAAACAGTTTTTACCCGTCTTGAATTATGGTGTCTGTATTCTTTGTTGCTGATCCCTCATTTTGACTACACTTTATACTCATATTCCCAAACTTGCAAAGAATAGTGTATCAGAGGAAAAGCTCTGTTTATAGCCTGCTTTGGTAAACTTAAACTTTTAATTTTTAAAAAATTACATTTATGAGAAAGACTTCCTTAAGATGATATTTTTGCTATAAAGTTGATGTACTTTTTATATCAAAAGATACTGCCACCAACTAAAAAGAAGAATCAGCCTAGGTGTTTAGTGATAGATAAGTGGATCATGATAAACACACACACACACACACAGGAACACACACAATTGTAAGGAACTATGAAGTCATGCATTCATTGCAGCATGAATGTAACTGGAAGATAAAATGTTAAAAGAAGTAAGCCAGAACACAGGACAATCTCATTGAGGGATACAGAATAACTAAACAATGGAATGCAATCTTTGAAAGGGGTGTTCCTAGACCACTCTTGGCCCCAGAGTATAGCGAGAAGGACAGAGAAGGAAAGAAACAATTAAATGGAAGGGGGGTGGGAAAAGAGATAGACAGAGAACCAATGGGTGGGAGGGACTTGGGGATCCAAGTACTTCTGTGGTGTAAAGGAGTGACTTAACTATCCAACCCACAGAGTCAGCAAACAGTGAAAACAAGAGATCCAAACTCCAACAACCAAACAAAAATGTACTTGTCAAGACCTCAGACTAGGGATGGGTGAGAAGCAACCTAGGAAACCTAGTGGAGGGAAGAAGATTGATGGCTTCGAATGATTCTGGAATATAGTATGTCTAAAATTCACTATGAATAACTGCAAATCATGGCTCCTTAGGAAAATAAAACTTTTTAATGTAAAGACTAGCTATCATTTCTCTTATAAGTTTCTGATGTTAATTTGCAATAACTGATGAAAATTCTTTAATTCTACTTTAATTCAGTGAGATGGCATATTAATAGAGTTTTTTCTCTCAAAACGCTATTGGATTGTTAATTTCCCCTATCTTATATAGTTGTAATGTATATTTTACAAAGAGACTAAGGCTACTAATCGGGCAGAGCCTGGCAAGCTCCCTGTGGTGTATTCAATATGCCAAAACCAGTAATGACAACAGGTCTCATTCCCCTGACCCTGAAAGAGCCTCCAATCACTGGGAAAAGACAGTAAGAAGAGGCTGCTAAAATCTCAGGGCTGGGAGGAATAGAGACGTTACTGGCTCCCGCTTGAGTAAACCGATGAACAATGATACAGTGATACAGTGATGCAGTGAATATAGAAGTAGATATAAAAACACCAACTGAGCAGATACTACATTTTCAGAAATCTTTAGAAACGGTAACAACAAAATCCTCTTGGACTTTGCTTGAGCATTTGTCTACCAGTATTTGCTGTTTAAAAAAGTCATTTCATTTAATCTTCAGTACAAAATGAAACCCAGTGTATTTTATTTCAAATAAAATTCCTATTCCAAGACCACGCCACACAACCAGCATAGTTTTAAACACATAGACTGGCGAAAATATTTCTGTTTCCTTCGTGTCAGTTTAAAAAGTGCACATCTGGCTGATGCAGTAATTCAGAATTGGTTTCAGATCAGTGCTGAGAATGATTCTCTAGTCCTGCTAGGTGTGGTACCCCCATCCCCCACATCCAACCCCCCCGTGAGAGGCACAAAGGCAGTTTAGGCGTTTGTTTCAACTCTTTACCAGTTAGATTTATGATTCTTTGCCAAGGAGCAATCCCTCTATTAAGGAGGAACTAAATCTAGTGTCTCAGAAGACATCCCCTTCTCTTCCCAGCAGCTCTTTATCTGTGCAGGGGTCCCATTCCAAGGGACCTGGTTCTCTCTACGGGGTGACAGTGACCGGGCATAAACATGTTATCCTCTTCTGACTCTTCTGTGAATCTCAGAATACTTATGTGCTGGACAGAAACTTGGATAAAGTTTTCTTTAAACTAATCTAGAAGGTTTGGGGAAATAGAGGAAGCGGGTTTACAGATCAACAATCTTCTCTTGGGGTCCGGGAAGGGAAGGGCTTGAACTCGGGCCAACAATTCGAAAGCACCATCTCCTGGAAGAACAGGAGCTCAGCGAAGGGCAGCCAGAATCCTAAACTTGAGTGTCTTTGCCAATGAAGAGCCGCTTGTACTTCCCCAGCGCATTGAAAGCCAGCTAGCCGCCCTGCGACCCGCGCCGGCCGTGAACTACATTTCCCAGAATGCCACCGAGCAGGCGCTACGGCCTCACTAAGCGCCGGCGTGACGCCATCAGCGTGCGCGATGTTTAGAGTATTGATGTCGTGGCGCTTTAGTGGAAAATCTTGGTGTCTCGCCGGGACCTGGTACTGAAGACGCTGTCCGGGTGGTCCGCCTTCCTACCTACCCTCCGCCCGCCTTCCTCCTCCCTCCTGGCAGGATGAGGCGCGCAGGCCTGGGTAAGAAGAGGTCTCAGGTTCGAAGTTCAGGGCCCTAGGCTCGTTCATGTCAGGAGCCGGGACGTGGGATGTTACCTGATGTTATGAAAATGAGCCAGAAAGCACCACGGTTGGAGGGATCTTCCGAAGTGTGCAAACTTTGGAAACTCCGTCTGTCCCCTCTCCTTGAGGTTTTCTTAAGTTTTATTCGGACCCGAGTTTGGATCAGAGGTTTCGAGAGAGCAGTGGCATTCTGGGGGTGGGTTGTGTAAAGGTGCCAACTCCGAGGTCAAGGGGTTGTTTTGTTTTTGTATTATTAACATTGAATGGAATTTTTGGAAACTACTGCTTCGTTCGGGCCACTTCTCTTTTTCTTTTCTTTCTTAACTGGCACAGTCTCTTAGTTTCTTCAGAAGAGAAACCTGTAGTATTGCATATGAAATCTTAATTATAGAGTAACAGTTACAAAGGTAAATGTACACATCATTACTCTTATATGCGTATATGTGACATCAGGGTCAAAGGCCGTTTTCCACACAGCATTTCTTATCTAAATTTTGTTCCACTGTTCAGACAGTCGAATATCACTAGGCTTGGTGACTTGTTTGTTCTTGATCTTTTGGCTTCAGAAGCTGTAATAACTAGACACACGAACTTTGAAAGGGCCATTAAAACCCATTTTCTAGTTGTAAAGCTGTTAAGAGATTTTTTTTTACAGTATAGCTTATTCTAACTCAGTGTATAGAGTGAGAAATGCATAAAGTATTTTAAAAAGTTGCCCCTTTCTGTTCTAAGATGGAAAAGAAAAGAAAAATATTTTGTACAAGTTTGAGGTCTTTAAAGTTAGTGAAGTTTGCAGTTATCTCTATACTACTAACAAATTGTGAAATGAGAAGTAACTTTTGAAAATTGTTTTTGTACGAATATTTGGGTGATAGAAAGTTTGCTGGGTACGTTTAAGAAAAACAATAACTCGGTTGAGCAAGCAAACTTAGTGACTGAAAACATACGACTTAATGTTTTCTGTTTCATCATTAGTGCTGTCTTGAGACATCGGGCACTTGAGAAAGCTAAGTATATGTGTGACATTGTTCTTACTTAGAATTTTAATTTAGTTGTAGAATAGCAACATATGCAGAGATAAATTATAATACAAGGTGGTAGTTATGCATTCAAACCCCAAAGTTCTGCAGAGAATGGATGTCCTGAGGATTTCAGAGAAGTTTGGAATAGAAACTTTGTGGAACTTAAGAACTTGAACTAGAGCAACAACAATGGAAGCAGGAGAGAGGTAGATTCTAGTTGGAAGGAAGCCCACCATCTCACTCTCTTAATGGTCAACCTAGAATTGTAAGTTTATGTTGAAAGGTTATGATTAAAGTGACTTGTTGGAATGGGGAATATAGAACCATGTTATAGAACAAGGCTTAAAATTTTTACTTTGTGATTCTATTTTCACCAAAGAAATACAGTATGGGGTGAGCATTGCCATAAATATATTTTATGATTGCTCTTAAATAAATTTTTCATTCTTATGAATTCTGGGAACATCTACTGCTGTCAAACTCTGTTAACCCCTCATTCAGTTTTGTGACCTCAGTGTGACTCCACAGTTTAAGAATCCAGGTGGTATCTTGTAACTGAACCCTGTCCTTTTTTTTTTTTTTTTGTATTTTGGGTCACACCTAGCGATGCTAAGGGGTTACTCCTGGCTCTGCACTCAGGAACTATTCCTTGTGGTGCATGGGGGACCATATGGGATGCTGGGGATCGAATCCAGGTCGGCCATGTGCAAGGGAAACGCCCTACCCACTGTACTATCACTCCAGCCCTACTCTCTTTGAACTTTCTATGCAGCAGTGTCTCATGATGGCAGGAAAAGGGATATGTGAAGGGTTAATTTTCAGCCATAGATGTACAGTAGATTGATTTGAAGAGCTTTTTAACCATTGTCACCTTGACCTCAAACCAATGAAAATAGAATCTCTGTGACAGAGCCTTTTCAAATCTTGTTTTTTTTCTTTTTAGGATATTAATATGTATTGGCCTGGAATTTGAAACTTGTGAAAAATAGTGATAAAAAAGCTGCCACACTTATTTGACTCTTGGTAACAGTTTGACACAGTTATTGATAAAAACTCACTCAAAAGAAGTAGCTTAAAGGACACAAGCTAAGAATGGTCTTTTTATACAACTTTTCATAGTAGTACTTCACACAAAAGATATGACTAAGTTTGGAGTAGTAATTTCTAGCATTTTGCTTTTCTTTCTTTAATGTGAGTAGGCGGTAGCATAAGGGACTAAACTCTATAATAGTAGACATGTGCATTGAAAGATTTCTGAGCAACATATAAGGTGAGAGTTTTGAACTAACAGGAAGAGGAGCAGCAAAGGAGCAAAACAAATGAAACAGAGAAATGACCGCTAATTTGAGAATTCCTTGGTGAAATTCATAAGTAATTTCATCCAATCAAAAATTATAAATACACATAAGTCTATATATATTTTATATTTAGAAACAGTTATGGGCTGAAGAGATAGTTCAGGGGGTAAGGCTCTTGCCTTGCATGCAGTTCACTCAGGTTTGATCTCCAGCACCCCATATGGCCCCCAGAACATCACCAGAAAGGGTTCCTGAGCACAGACCCAGAAATTACCTCTGAGCATTGCCAGGTGTGCCTCCCCTGGCCCACCAAAGAAAGGGGAAAAAAAAAAACTTAGTCATACAATAAGTCATTTTCCTTTTTTTCATGACCATGTTTGTATTAGCATTTGTAGAGAGTAGCACTGATTAATGAAGGAATGATGCATTTTTCTTTTAATGGTGTTTTAATTTCTGGGTGGAGAGACTGACACTTTCATAATAGCCCCCTCTAGGAATACTTTGTGGATAATGTGTCAGCAGTAGAGGGAAATTGGGGATAATGCAATTTCCCCTCTGGAACAGACTGTTAAACGTTTTGTTGTGTTTTTTTGTGATTGTGGTGAAGATTGCTGTAAGGTACTTAACAGGAGCAGCGTAGAAGGAGTATGAGACACTGTCTCTACTCTCAAAGAAGCTTATTCTGTTCTCATGTTCTCATCAAAGGTATGCATGTTCGTTAGTAACATTGAATTCAGATTTATTCATCATTTGATTAACTTAGGAACACTGAAAGAACTTTTTTATTGTGTGTATTTCTGAAGCATAAGCACCCATGAATTAAACAGCTCTTGGAGTTGAGTCTAAAATGCAATATTAATACTGTATACAGTCAGAGCTGTTTTATCAGATACAGGAGTTTTGCTTTTTAGAGAAAGTGAGATTTGTATTGCTCCTTAAAAGTTTCTTGAGGACTAGGAAGATAGTTCAAGTGGTATAGCACACAGCTAGCATGTTCTTAGTCTGAGTTTGATCATCAGTTTCCCATTTTCTCCCTCATCCTGCCCAGCACAGGGTGTAGCTTTGTTCAACCCCAAGTACTGCATGATCAGTACATTGCTAAGGAAAACACCTATTTTTTTGTTTTGTTTTGTTTTGTTATGCTTTGCTTTTTGAACCACACCTGGTATTCTTCAGGGCTTACTCCTTGCTCTACACTCAGGGATCACTCTTAGTGGGTTTCAGAGAGAGATGCCAAGAATTAAACCTCGATGGCTGTGGGACAAAACAAAGCACATTACTTGCTGCTCTGGCCTCAGGAAAGCACCTGTTTTATTGGGGAAAAAAAAAACACAGGTTTTCTTACATCTCAATCATCCTTAAACTTCCTCTATCACTGGCACTATCTCTTCTCTTTGAGATTAAAGAAATAGTTTCTCTTTCCTCACCCTCTGTCCCCATAATTTCACACCACTGTTGTGTTTGCTTTAATCCCTGTCCAATGGAGTCCTTTTGAGCTATATATTTGTTGGCGAGCAGTCTCGGTCTTTTGGGACTGGGTTTGTCCACAGCTGCAGCACTGAAGATTTTTACTCCAACCCTTGGTCAGTCCAACTATCTAGTGTTTTGTGGTCCAAAAAGCTCCTGCAGAGAAAAAAAAAATTCCACATACAGAGGACTAGAAATGACTGTGATATAACCACCAGGTTTATTTTGTTTCCCTAATAGTCCTTCATCAGTCTTTTTACTATTTTTTTTGAGATAATCATTATTCAATGAATAGGCATTTTTATTTACTAAGCAAATTAGTGATTTAAGTTACTTTCAACAATGTGAGGTTCTGGGGCAACCGCTCAAAGGACTGGAGCACATGCCTTGCACTGAGGCGCCAGGTTGATCCCTGACACTTCATGGCCCCAAGTTGATCCTTGGCTCTATGTGTTCTTTTTACCACTTGTGACCCTTGTGGGTCCCAGGCACTTCTGCAGCCCTGAGCATCACAAGATGTGACCCAAAACCAAATTTAGTCATATAAAGATAATTGTTAAATATGGTCATAATCAACATAGACAAGTTGATTAAAGAAATCCTCAATTATGCTATTCACTCTTAATGCCCAAAACACACACACACACACACACACACACACACACACACACACACACATATTCACTGTTCATACATCACTCCAGCTGATGACTTATTAGTGCTTGTACTAGGAAAGTGGAAACTGTATTTCTTTTTCTCAGTGCTGTTCCCTAGAAGCTATGGCATATACAAGTAGCACTTGGGAATGGGTCTGGCACATGATAATTGCTGAAGTATTTGTTGAAGAATGAATTAATCACTCTTGTAGTGCCCAGTCAGCGTGTTTCTTTTCTAATTTAGAGAAAGAGACACCACTAAGGATCCTCCCTTTGTAATGGGTTCCTTCCTGCTGTACTGTCTTCCCTCTCTCACATCATATGCAAGCTTCACTGTGTTGTTTCACTGTGTACTATTTAAAAAATATATTTTTTACCTGTTTGGAACTAGAAGGTACCAATGTTGAGTGAAGGAAGTCAGAAGAAGGACAAATGCAGGATGCTAATACTTTTTGATCTTTTTTAGAAGGGCAAGTTGTATTGAGCAGAGAATATATCCTGAACATTGTGTAGCGGGGCCTATTTCAGTGTCTTTTGGGCAGCCAATAAACATTCAATCAATGTATATTGAAATAAGTCGGATCTTCTTTGCTTAAGAGAATATATGAGAATTGATCTGATCTCTGATTATTAATTTAAAAAAATTATTTGAATCTGTATATCAGATATATACATGGTCTGCAACGCCCTCCAGGGGTCTTTTTCAGTCTTTCCTATTAAGGTTTTGAAAGAGCCTTGCATTTGTGTCATAACTATGCTTGTGATTCTGATTCTGGCAGGTGAAGGTATGCCTCCTGGCAACTATGGAAACTACGGCTATGCCAACAGTGGGTACAGTGCCTGTGAAGAAGAAAATGACAGACTCACTGAAAGTCTGAGAAACAAAGTCACCGCTATAAAATCTGTAAGTACATGACTAGATGCTAGAGTCTTTTAAATGTTGTATATTTACATACGTATATAAACATTATTATTCACTAATTACTTTCATGGGCATCAGAAATTCATTTACCAAAATAGTATATATAGTTCTGTGAAGTCAAGGTGCACTCACAGTTTTAGAACATGATTTAAGTAGATGCCTAGAAAATATGACCAATCAAAAGGTATGATACATTTGATTATTTTCTGAAACTCCAGATATTTTTGTTTGTTAAATCTAAATGACTGACTGTTGTCTGTAGTAATATCACACTCCCAAGGAGCCCTTCTGATTTTTTTCTCATTCTCATCTCCTAAGCTGCAGATCTTGCAGATTTCAGTCTTTATGTTTCTGCCTTTGTACCTCAGGTTAGTCACCAACTTTTATGTTTCTTTCTTCCTCCTGTCTATTTTTGTGCTTTTTTTTTTTAAATTTTAATTTTCAGTACTGACCTTTTTTTTTTTTTCTTAAATGAAATACTATAAAATCTTCTTGACCTTTCCTACCTCTGCTAATTGTTGCCTGACACAGTCTGAGCTATGTACCACTATAATCAGCTCTTGATACAATTAGTAAAATTATGTCCTGTACTCCTAGAAGTCTTCTGTGTCCCCTCTGGATGTAATCATGTTGACTCTTTACACTCTGATCAGAGAAGTCCTTAAGAGTTTGGCCATAGCTTTTCAGATCTCACTTGTCGCATTTCCAGAATTGCTTATACTTTCTGCCAGACAATTAGTTTTCTGTACTATGTACACTGCCAATTTCCTAGTGCCTGTCTGTTTGAATATGCGATCTTTCACCTTCAGATTTATCTCCCTTGTATTGGCTGGCATCTTGCCCATACTGAAAGGCCCTGGCTCATCATCCAATCTTTGCCTGGGTAGAATATTAAAAGTAACTTATTCCCTTATAAACATAAAGCTAGTTGTACTGTTTCTGTAGTGTTTACTATATAATATCCGCATTAGAATTATGTGTGTGAAAGACATTTACCAGCTGGATGGTTTTCTCCTGTACTGACTTTCATGGTCTATATAGTTTCTAGCATAATTCTTTATTCATAGTATTGAGTAAATATGTACTGAATGGTGATACATATTATATGAAGGGAAATTATAAAAAGATGATGTTAATGATTTTGCATTATAATGATCCTGCTATACTCTTATAGAGTATTCAGTATAAGTTCATGTTGCCAGAGCCTAATTGGGATTTCATTTACCTTTGCAAAATTGAATTGTGTTCAGCCTGGAAACTATTTCAGTATAAAAAACTTACTGTTTTCAATGTCACATTAAATCAAAAGGAGTGAATCAATAGTGAAAGGAAAGTTGTGACGCTCTAGAAAATTCTTTCCTTAACATGAATGGAAGTTATAGAAAATAGGAAGTTTAGTCTATCTAGATTTATAGTTGTTTTAATCTTTCTAAATTGTTGAATTTGCAACAAAAGCTATCTTCTATTCAATGTAGTATTCTATAGTTTTTTTTTTCTTTTTGGGTCACACCCAGTGATGCTCAGGATTTGAATTGGTAGTTTATTCCTGGCTCTGCACGCAGGAATTACTCCTGGCAGTGCTTTGGGGACCAAATAGGATGCCGGAGATTGAACCCGGGTTGGCCACGTGCAGGGCAAACGCCCTACCTGCCTACCTCCGGCCCCAAGTATGGTTTTTTGTTGATATTTTCCGTATGCTGGGTATCGAACCTGGTTCAGTTGCTTGCAAGGCAAATGCCCTACCTGCTGTGCTATTGCTCCAGCCCGCGATAGCAAGTGGTAGGGAGTTTGCCTTGCGCGCAGCCAGCCCGGCCAAGCAGGGTTCGTTTCCTCCGCCTCTCGGAGAGCCTGACAAGCTACCAAGAGTATCTCGCTCGCATGGCAAAGCCTGGCAAGCTACCCGTGATGTATTCGATATGCCAAACACAGTAACAACGAGTCTCAAAATGGAGACATTACTGGGCCAGCTCAAGTAAATCAATGAACAACGGGAGGACAGTGTTTGTTTATTTTCCATATACTTTCCAGACAGAGTAACTTGAAAACAATGTTTATAATGGTTTGTCGAATTTTTCAGTAGCTGATTTCATCTATTTAAATATTTAAATATTTTGAAAATGAAGTCTTTGATGAATTTGTCATGTGACTGAGTAAATAGGTTTTAGCTTAAATAAGAGTCATATTTACTCATATAATATTGTTTTTTTTTTTAGCCTTGGCCACTTTGCTATAGTATTTCAGAATACAGATAATACTAACTTTTGATTTTTAATATATTAAAATATATTTTAAATCTAAAGAAATGATTGGTATGGGTATATATTCAGAATTTATCATATTTTATTTGTGAAACACTAAATATATCAAGATTTGAATTGGCAGTATAGATATTTTTAAATGTAAAACATAACATTATGAGAAATAAAGCAAAAATATTCATAGATACGAGAATCACCAACCAAAAACCATAAACCAAAATTTAAAAGATTGAATTGAATGATAAAATATAATCATAATGAAAAGCAAGGAGACATAGCTAGAACTGGGAAAGAGTCAGAATCGCAGATATATTTCCCATCATTGTCACTGTTTTGAGAAGACGTATGGAGAATAAAATAGATTTATAGAATGCCATTTTGAGAAAATGTATGTTTATAGTGGTATTATTCTTTTATATTTTCTAATTCTTAAATGTATTATGTGAGTAATAGTATGTTTTCTTTGTTATAGCTTTCCATTGAAATAGGCCATGAAGTTAAAAGTCAAAATAAATTACTAGCTGATATGGTAAGTGGTAATGATTTACTTTTACCTAGTTTCAAATTGATCTAGAGATCACAAGTTTTGGATTTCCATCCATTTATATCTAGCTGGTTTGAAGTAACCATGAAGTTTATTTTGGCTATAGTTTAACATTTTTAGCTTGCCTTAAGACTTCATTATTCCTAATGAACAAATAGAAGCCATGCATCTTTAATGCTGTACTTGAAGCACTGTTAGAGACTTAGCACTGTAGCACTATCCTCCTGTTGTTCATCCATTTGCTCGAGTGGGTACCAGTAACATCTCCATTGTGAGACTTGTTGTTACTGTTTTTGGCATATCGAATATGCCACGGGGAGTTTGCCAGGCTCTGCCATGTGGGTGGGATATTCTCGGTAGCTTGACGGGTTCTCTGAGAAGGATGGAGGATGTCCCAAGTTGGCTGTGTGCAAGGCAAATGCCCTACCTGCTGTGCTACCGCTCTAGCCCATTAGAGACTTAGGACAAATAATTATTTTGAGTATTCTTAGAGTATTTAGTGTATAAAACTACAAATAATCAAGAAGTATCTAATATACAGCCAACTAAAGGTTTTTCGCTCTTACTATAAAGCCTATTTCTTCTTTTTTTTTGGGGGGGGGGGGGTCACTCCTGGAGAAGCGCGGGGTATTCCTGGCTCTGCACTCAGGAATCACTGGCGGAGCTCAGGGTACCATATGGAATGCTGGGAATTGAACCCGGCAAAAGCGCCCTACCCACTGAACTATCGCTCCATCCCCTACAGCCTGTTTATTTTACATGATCTCTATGGATCACTTCTGAACAAATCAGTAAGATATGAACACAGTAATATCTGAGAGCCTTTTATTTGCTCATAGATAAAAGGCTAACATACCTTCTTTTGTTAGTCTTCCTTTCATTCAGTTTATTTTGGATGCCAAACTTCTTTGAGTTTCTCCTAGTTGCCCTATACACTTGTAAATTTGTGTGATTTTATGATTCAAAAATGACTTTGTCATTGAGAGCAGCCTTTGCTCTAAGATTTTGCATTAGGATTGCCTGGGCTACTTCCTGAGGATACCTAAGCCTGATTCCAGAAATACTTATTTTAAATTTCTGGAGAGATTACTAGGTACATACATATATTTTTAAAAAGAAACCTGTATGATTTCAGTGGATAAACATGGTAAAAAACTACAGATCTGTGAACTACACAGAACCTGAAAAACACAAAGGTTATCATTATGCCAGGGGCCTTTACATTTGGGAATATTGTGATTCTATGGAAGTACATTTTAATCCATACTAGGACATAGAAGACATACCTAGTTCTCTCAATTTCAAGATGTTTTCAGCTTTGTTTTAATACGATAATTTTTCACAGCTGTAGTTTTGTCTTTGCTACAATTTATTACTGGATATGATGCTCTATCTGTCTCTCTCTTTTTTTTACATGGTACTTTTTAACTTTTTATAAACTTTGCTTCCAAGCCAGCTGTCTTTAGAAGAAAAAAAAAGGTCTTAGACATACAGATACACTTAACTGCAACCTTATTAAATTTTGGCTGGTGTTATACTAGGGTGCAGTCAACCTTTTAATTTTGTAAAGCAATCCCTCAGCAAAAATTGGGGAAAAATCTGTGTGATAGAAACAGCTTACCTTTTTTGTTGATTTTTTTTTTATCTCCTTAACAAAGATAAGACTTAAAATAGCTTAAGGTTTTGAATTACAGTGGGGCTGAAGGGAATGCTTTGGGGATAATGATGAACTTTTTCATCTTTGAAAGAATTACTCTGTTTTGCTTGGAACAGTTTGATCACTCTAGTTAAAAACAGGCTAATGAATTGACACAACAACTGTCAATGAAAAACCTTAATGTGCACGTGTAAAATATTAGAATAACTATTGCATTTTTCTTTCCTTCACATAGGATTCACAATTTGATTCTACAACTGGATTTCTAGGTAAAACTATGGGAAAACTGAAAATTTTATCCAGAGGAAGTCAAACAAGGCTGCTGTGCTATATGATGCTGTTTTCATTATTTGTCTTTTTTGTCATTTACTGGATTATTAAACTAAGGTGATGCAAGTAAGTGCGAGTTTGGAATTTGTTCTATCGTAAAGGCTTTGAGTACCACTTTGGTTATTAAAAAAAAAAAAAACATTAAAACATTCCTAATTTTCAAATAGTCTGGCATTTTTCCATTGAAGATTACTGAACTTTACTGTTTCTATAGATCATATTGCTCTTTCAGTACTGTACTGTTTCAATACAGTTTCTGAATGATTTAATTTTTTTTCTTGCCTCTATTTTCAGGGGTATTGAGATAGGCTGAAGGTAGTCTGGTCCTAACAATTTTCTATTGTTTTCTAACTGTCCAAACAATAAAAGAGCAGTAAATATTCTGTTCTTAGATACAATAAAGATTGTGTATGTTTCATGTCCAGACAGTTGGGAGTGTATCATGATGCCTGCCTGCAGACCCTAATGCTGAACTGGTGTTTTACACAAATTTTGATGGAATTGGTAAATATATTCTGAATTGTTGTCAACTTACTGGTTAAAATCATAGGCCAATTTCATATTACCTTAAGATTTTCTTATCATATTTTGATGTGGCTCCTCTTTCCCCAATGATGTGATTCTTTAATAAAGCTTGCTTTTTTGTACTTATTTCTAGTAAAGCCCAATATAAATGTGTACTGGAATAGCTGTTAATTTTATATTAACTTTACACATGTTACTTACTTGGCTTATGATGGTTTCATAATTGTAATGGCATAGGTGGCCATTTGGTTATCATTTGTGACAAAATGATGTGAAGCTAGAGTAATTGCTGAGCTTTGGGGATAAAATAAAGTGTTTAAGAATATTAATTGCCTCTGCCTTATGATGTGCTTAAAAACATTCTAAATACTCAGGCATTGATCATGGAGTTGAGTACTCTTGTTTTGATTTAGAATGTTTAGAATGTTTATAGAAAGCAAACACATAGATGGACAGTTGAGTATAAATAAATATTAAAATTCGGTTAAATCTCTGTTATTGTTCCTTTTGGGGAATGTACCCATTTATCGGTGCCAAAAATAAAAATTTTTAATTCAATATTATCTTAATTGACTTTTTTCTTTTGTGTTCAAGTTTCTTATTTTCCACATACATCCTGGGACATATTCCTGAAAATACTCCAGATTAAAAAAAAATCATAAAAAATAGTGTATGCTTCTATTATTTCAGAACTTCCTTCAGACAAATGATATAAACCAGGAAGTCATTTCAAAATCCTTAATTCTTTATGCTTTTGAATTAGAAATCAGTTATCTTTGAATTTTCTGTTTTTGCAGACCTTTTTGTTTATCCCAAATTATCTGACAATATAGGTTCGGTCTTTCTTGGCTGCATTTGTTGTCATTTAGGCTTCTCTTTTTTACTCAAAGGTAAGACTGCCAGGGTGGGAGCAATTAAGAGAGTTAAACTTCAGGAAAGAAATAGGCCTGAGATGTGATGGGAGGAACAATAGTTTGAGTCAATGACCTGAGTTCTTATCTCTCTTCCTTCACATGCTCAGTGTTTGAAGCCTTAATTTCACCTATTCCATTATTGTTCTGTAAAGTAAATATGATGGAAAGTGCCTTATTTGTAATAATCACTCTCTGATCTCTCTTTGACGAACAAAGTAAAACACATTAGAAAATTATTTTTTGAGGGTTTTAGACTTTGAGATGACACTGTAGCGTCTAAGTGAGAAGTTTTTGTAATAATTATATATTTTATATAGATATATCTATAAATAATTTTATAATATTAGAGAATGCCTTTTTTTATGAATTACCTAATTATGTGCTCTTTGCCAGTGATATGGCATCAGAGCTTAGGAATGACTCATAGATCATAATCAATAAAGTTAAGAAGAAGGAAAGAACTGAAAGACAAATAAAAATACTTTGAAGATGTCAACAAAAGAGAATGGCCAATGGAAGATTAGATCAAAGTTTCAGGAAAACCAGAAAAGGCAAGGTTGGCTCTTATAGGAAAGTATAAAAACACGTTTAAACTCTATTATATTTTCTAAACCCAAGCACAAAAATTTGTAAGTCTACAACTATACCTCATGGTGTTTCACTAATAAAAATTAAAAAAAAAGAAAACTATTATATTTTCTCATTAAAGTGATAGAGAATTTCAGAAAAGAGGTTTGCAGTAACGAATCTCATTGTCCAGGATTTTTTATGTTATTATTCATGTTATCCTCTGTGATCACTGTCTTTGTCAGTATTCTTGGCAGAAGTTCTCCAGACAGGACTGTCCCTGTCAGTCAGGGATCTTTTCGCCATCATCCTTTACTTCTCTTTGGGAATCCCTAGGGAAAAAGTATTATATAGGATAAAATGTAGGGGTAGCATCAATATAATGCAAAATTTAAATCGTTATAAACTCTTAATAAGTAGGGAAAAGACTTAAAGGTTTCTAGGAGGCTCATAACTGTTATTTATGTTATAATCCTTATGTAGCAGTGCTAGTGCAGATTTTGTGGCTGTGGTAGGTGAGACATGATAACCAGTATTTTAAGTGGCAAAGGAGATTCATAAGATAATTCATAAAACTCCCAATTCTCCAAATTTTTCTTCAAAGTTACCGCATCACTAGAAGTTGTTTCTTGAAAGTGTGCTAATCCATTTGCGTAACAAAGTATATCTGGCATCAGTCTCCACACTTAGGAAAGGGAGAATTATATATACTATTGATAGAATTTAAATTAGCTTACAAATTAATTCTTAGATATTATTTGAGAGAAAAATAGAGGATAAATCTAAAATAAATATGCAGTATTTCAAGCGTCAAAATTTCGGAGGGCAAAACCCTAGCACCTGCACCCATAAAAAGCTTTTGGTTCTGTAAAATAAACCACTTATTCAATTTTTTCAATACTCTTAAATTTCAAATTAAAATGCATTGAATTTGTTTTTTTGCAGAGAAGGTAGCAAAACAGTTGATAATTTGGGTTCATTCAATGAGTAAATAACTTAATCAGTCCATACTGATGAATAAACTTTAAATATTTACTAGGAAGCAGAAAAGTATAGCTGTTACTAAAAGCTACGAAATCACAATGCCAAACAAATACAGGCTGTCATACACATTGTGACTTTGAACTTATAACCTCTTCATGTCACTTATAGGAATAAAAATTTTAAGTAGGTTGTGGTGACCGTCTTGGGATTATTTTGTTAAATACATTTATTTTGTTAAATACAGCATTACCTGTAAAATTAGAAAAGTTTCATAGTTTGTACTCAGTGAAAGTTGTTGCCTTTGTGGCTTTGTGGCCAGGTCCTTGAGATTTCTGGACTATCACAGTAACGTGCTTGCTGCTGTGAATATTTTAACCGTTTTTCTCCCACTTTCCTGCTGGAGTGAAAAGTTGAGTTTCTACTTTTTAGGGTTGTTCATAATTCTCTGGGTTGACTTCACTTTGCTTTTTTGTTTTAGTTTATTGTATTTTTTTCATCCACAGCAATTTGATAGAATTTAAGGAAAAAACACCTATCTTTTGGGGAAGTACCTGATTTGTTTAAGTTAGAAAACAACAGAGCATATAAAAATCTGGAAGCAAAATTTTGAAGGGAGAGAAATTTAGAAAGTTCTTTATCTGCAGAAATTTGATACAAATTATATTTCTGTTCTATATCCTTTTGTGTTCTCTAAAATTGTATTTTTAACTTTATTCTGTTTTGAAATTTACTCATGAAGTCAAGGGGCACAAAGATCTTAATTTACAAAATTCCAACTGAGTTATTCTTACAATAAATAATACTTTCTTTTTTTCTTCTAAATATCAGCAAACTACAATATTTTAATAAGACATATTGGTAAGAATCAGTCATTTTAAACTTTGATAAAAAAATAACTCAAACCTCAAAAATCTTTCCACAGATTAAGTGTTGGATTTGGGGTTTGGGGATCCATGGCGGGAGGAGCGTGCTGGGATGGTAGGCCATACCCAGCAGTGCTCAGGGCTCACTACTGGTTCTACACGCAGCCATCACTCTTGGTGTGGCTTGAGGGAACATAAGGGGCACCAGGGATCAAACGTAGGTGTGTTACTACCAAGACCAGAGCCCTACCTGCTGTACTATCACTCTGGAATTTTGGATTTTTTACTACAATATTTTCATATCCTTTCATTGTGTTTATTTTTACAGTACAGTGAGTGATAAAGTAGCTCTCTGGGGGCAGATGTGGGGACTGACTTGTACTTGTTAACATTTTCCTACTCGATCACAATTTATTAACATGAAAAATCTCCTAAATCTGGTCATAAAAATGTATGGACAATGGGGCTGGAGCGATAGCACAGCGGGTAGGGTGTTTGCCTTGCACGCGGACGACCTGGGTTCGATTCCCAGCATCCCATATGGTCTCCTGAGCACTGCCAGGGATAATTCCTGAGCGCAAAGCCAGGAGTAACCCCTGTGCATCGCCAAATGTGACCCAAAAAGCAAAAAAAAAAAAATGTATGGACAAGAGCCACCCGAGAGATAGTAAAAGTATTAAGGTCTTGCATGTGGCCAACCCTTGTTTATTCCCAATACTCCATATGATTCTCCTAGTGCAACTAGAATGGTTTCTAAGCACAGAAGCAGGAGAAATCTCTGAATACCGATGAGTATGGTTCAAATCCTGCCACACACCCCACAAATACATGGACAAATGCTTAAGTTAGAAAAATAAGTTAGAAAAATATGTAGAATTTATCGCTTCCTAAATGCAAATCTCTCACATGTATTTTAATGGAAGTAAGTCATAGTTTGTGAATTTATTAAATTTTCTTGAGAATAATATTTCCAGTGCTAATGGACACTTTTCATGTGTCCATGAAGGCCATTTTCATGTCAACTTTTTTCCCCTCTGGGTAATTGATAATTCGTTTATTGAACTTTCATCTTTTGGTAGTTAAAATATTGTATGCCAATCATACTAAAAATATACGCTATTGTTATTCTCTAAGAATTTCCCTCCAATTAAATGTTCAGAGTGCAGGAATCATTCCATATATTTTATGTGAAGCCTTTCCCTCTTAAAAGACT